GGAGTCGACAAGCCGATCTCTTCCCCAAGTCTGAATTATTCGCCAGAGGAGGGCCGCGGAGTCTAGGCTGTGAAGATGCCCCTGGAGCTGACTCAGAGCCGGGTGCAGAAGATCTGGATCCCGGTCGACCACCGTCCTTCGTTGCCCAGATGTGAGTACAGATAGGTGCAGGGGCCGGGCTGCAGGGGAGAGGCGCGCCGCGTGGAGAGCAAAGCCATTGTAGGGCGGGAGCTGGCACGGAGCTTTTGTACCGACTCCTCTCCTCGAGCGCGCTCCTGCGGGGCCGGGTACCTCCCTCCACCGCAGTCTCCGCTGGCTGGGGCGGGGCTCCTTCCACTCCTCCCGGGAGCGCGGGGAGGGGTTGGCGGTGGCGCGGAGCCGGGACAGCGCGGGCTCTTGCGCCGGCGCTGCACCTCCCCTGCCCGGTGTGTGCCGCGGGTGGCTCGGCTGGCCGCACCGGCTTGTTCCCCCCAGCGTAGAGGGAGCCGGAAGCCGCGAGCGCGCCGGGGTACTGGCCCCAGAGAGCAGGGGGAGGAAGCGCAGGGCACTGCAGTGAGCCTTTGCTTCGGGACCTTTGAGAAGGGACGCTCGCGTGTTCCCCAGTCCCGGCCATCCTCCCGTGCGCCCGCCGGGCTGAGTCCGGCCAAGGGACGAGGCCGCTCGTACGCGAAGCGTCACCTCGGGTCTCCATCTGTGCCTCACCTCTCTCTAACCCGCTCTCTTTACCTCTATTTCTTTTTGTTTGTTTATTTTTTGTTGTTCTTTACTTCTATTTCCATAGTCTCTCTTAGCCCCTCTATATTTCTGTCTCCTCCCTGCCTCTGTTTTCACCTTCTCTTAGTCTCCTTTTCCATACATTTTAATCTCATCTTTATATTTCCATCCCCCATATCTCTCCTTTTTTCTATATATTTATAACCTCTCTACTTTCTTTATATTTGTCCTCTCTTTTCACCTCTCTCTCCCTCTATACGTATTTCTGTCTCTTCTCTCTGCTCCCACCTCTAGCTCCTGTGCTGGGGCCACAAGAGAGCTCACTCTGGAACTAAGCCATTGGCCCCGGTTTGTCGGACGGTTTGTGGATCCCTGACTGTACAGTTGGCAGCGTTTCGCTCGGGCGGGCGCGGGAGGTGCACGCACAGTGCACCAACCTGCCCCGTCTGCCGTTGGCCAGAAATGCTTTGGAAAGGTGTGCCTTAGGTTCTATCCCTAGCTATGGAGAGAGTCACCTCTTAAAAGAGTAGTTCCAGTGGTTTGAAAGTAACACCGCTCCTCCAGGTCACCTGCCCAGGAGCCCATCAGGTGGATTGGGTAGAACCCAATGGTGGGTGTTTTGTCCCCAGCCAGGTTGGATTGCCCAAGTAAACATGGGATCCCAGATGCAAGCCCTAGGGATGGCTTCTAGGCCTCAGTGGCTGTTTAGGGGAGGTGGCTTGCTGACCTTTGCTGTTGTGACAGCCCACACAGCTGTGGTGACAGCTCAGGTGTGAATCACTGCCCCCGCCCCGCACGCCCACCTGCCCCAGGAGGTGGGGAGAACTGGCCCTGTGGTGCTCCTTGGTCATAGAGGTGATGGGGACCTGGTAAGGCACTCCTGATACTGGCGGCCCCTCCTCCACCAGCTTGTCTCCTTTGCTGGACCTGAGGGTTCTTGGGGCCACAGAAGCCTTAAGGAGAACTAACTGGGTTTATTTGCAAGGTAGCCAGGAGTTTGGCAGGTCTGCATCTTTTAGATGCACTCTTTTGTTTTTTAAAGGAATGCTTTATTGACTTTTAGACGGGGAGAGAGAGAAACATTGATGTGAGAGCCTCCTGTACATCCCCTACTGGGGATTGAGCCTGACACCTGGGCAAGTGCCCTGACGGGGAGTTGAACTGGCATCCCTTCGATGCATGGGATGATGCCCAATCGTCTGAGCACACTGGCCAGGACTAGATATGCTCTTTTTTTTTTTAAGTTGAATTCAATGATGAGAGAGAATCATTGGTTGGCTTCCTCCTGCATACCGCCTACTGGGAGTTGAGCCCACAACCCGGGCATGTGCCCTTGACCAGAATCGAACCCAGGACCCCACAGTCCTTAGGCCGATACTCTATCCACTGAGCCAAACCAGCTAGGGTTAGCTATGCTCTTAAATAGTTTATAAACTGTACTGACCACAGTCTGCTTGTATTTCTTTAAAACCTACTGGTGGTGAGAAATGCAGTGCCTCAAATCATGAGGGAGATTTGGCTACAGCAAGATGCAGGAACAATTCAGTTCAGCCCTTTGTGACTTGGAATAAAGTGTATTTACGGAGCACTTGGTAAACTGTAATTGGTCATGAATATATGTTGGTTCTCTCTCTTTATGCAAATGCATGCATTTGTGTGCGTGTGTACACACACACACACACACACGTGTGCACGCACATTTAGTAGTCCCTTGAGGTTCATGGTGGTGGGCTGAGGTCTGGGAGGAATGACCCTGAGTTTCCATGTAGAGGGCACAGATTGACTGCATTTGCCCAGTCGTGTGATTATGAGAGACACAAATGTGCAGTGATGCTTCCTTCCTCCAGGCATCAGAGACCCATCCATTAGACTCTGTCAGTCTGCACGTTTCACACGCCGATGAGAGATTTGCCTAAAAATCCCTGTCAGAACCTTTCAGAGCTTGGGGGTGGGGTGGGGGATGTTAAAAGCTGAGGGATTAATTCCCTTTCCCCGCCTACTTCTGGAATTCTGAGTGTGGTTCTGAGGTGTAATCTCAGATGTGTTCTTCCTTATAAAAATAACCGCAGCCTAAATAGTTATTACATGCCCTTATTTCAAGTAGCGGTGTCTTTTTTGGTTCCTATAGCCGCATTTGTCTTCCGTCGGAATGGAGAAATCAGGGTGTTTTTTCTTGGCATCTTTCCTGACCCACCCCCTTCCTTAATGGCATTTGGAACATTGGTTGGATTTTCTTCCTTCTAAACCTGTTACCATCTTTCTAAGTGGTGTTGTAACTGGGGGTCTGCAGCAGATTCCTCTGAGGCCATGGGGAACATTACCTTTCATGTGCAAAGAACAATAAAACATCAGGAAACCCCAGACTGATTAGTTTGATATTTCTTCCTTTGAAGCACATTCATTGGATGCCCTGTTAGGACCCCCCACATGGTGGTAAATACTTCTTATAAAGCCTGCAGCTTCCTTCAAATGCATGCTGTAACTTGGGGAGACTTAACGGAATTGGCCAATCAACATCATCGACAAGGACGTTAAAAATGACTGGCAAGGACTGCCTGTCCTTTCTCTGTCATCAGTAAAAGTGGAGAGCCTCCGCATGGGAGTCCCTGCTTATTTACCCACTCAGAACCTTCATTTTCTTGGCCCTGGTCAGGTAGCTCAGTTGGTTAGAGCATCGTCCCCATATGCCAAGGTTTCGGGTTTGAGCTCTGGTCAGGGCACGTCCAAGAAGCAGCCGATGAATGCAATGAAAAAGTGGAACAACAAATCAACATTTCTCTCAAATCAATTTAAAAAAAGAACCTTAGTTTTCTCATCATTAAAGTAAGTTGCATACTGTGTACTGATAGAAGGGTTTTCATCTCAGCAGGGGCTAAAAGCCACTGAAGGCATTCTAGTTTAAAGAAGGAAGGTAGGGGGAGTGTTTAAGAGAAATTCCTACCTATACTGTTGATACTTGGCCCTGGCTATACATTAGAATAATTTTGGGGATATTTTAGGGAGTGGGGAATCCATATGATACTTTACTATTTTTTATTTATTTATATATATATTTTAAATTTCTTTATTGATTAAGGTATTACATATGTGTACTTATGCCCCCGTTACCCTCCCAACCCCCACTCATGCCCTCATCCCCCTGTTGTCTGTGTCCATTGGTTATTGTTCAAAAGTTTATGTCTCAATTATCCATGAATAAGTGAGATCATGTGGTATTTTTCTTTCATTGACTGGCTTATTTCACATAGCATAATGCTCTCCAGTTCCATCCATGCTGTTGCAAATGGTAAGAATTCCTTCTTTTTTACCGCAGCACAGTATTCCATTGTGTAGATGTACCACAGTTTTTTAATCCACTCATCTGCTGATGGGCACTTAGGCTGTTTCCAAATCTTAGCTATGGTGAATTGTGCTGCTATGAACATAGGGGTGCATATATTCTTTCTGATTGGTGTTTCTAGTTTCTTGGGATATTCCATATGATGCTTTAAACCAAGTCAGAATTGCCACAGGGGAGGCCTGGGCATCCTGTTTTGTTTTTAATATATTTTTATTGATTTCAGAGAGGAAGGGAGAGAAAGAGATAGAAACATCAATGATGAGAAAGAATCATTGATTGGCTGCCTCCTGCACACCCCCCTCTGGGGATGGAGCCTACAACCTGGGCATGTGCCCTGATGGGGAATTGAACTCTGATCTTCTGGTTCATAGGTCAATGCTCAACCACTGAGCCACACCGTCTGGGCTGCATCCTGTTTTTTTTAAGAATGCTGTAGGTTCAGCCACTGGTGGAGAGCCACTAATTTAGGAAAGAGCACTTAAAGAATTTCAGGTGAGAGAGACTTCGTGAGCCCCAACCATGTCTCTTAGTACTTGTACGGTGGGCCCTCTCTTCACTTGTGGGTCTTAGTTTCCTCATCTGGGGTGATGAAAACTGTAAAGGCTGATGTTGACATAGGCGGCTGAAGAAAGCATTTCCCATGTACTACGTTGTAGTTAATCCTCCCAAGAAACTTTATGAAGCATCCCTCCATTTCACTCAGAAAAAGAAACTAAGACAGTGAGAGATCAAGGAACTTGTTCAAAGTCCAAGGAAGCAGTGGGAACTGGCTCTGAACTTTATTTGACTCCAGGCCTTGCCCTCTGAGCCACTATGGTATTGTATGGCCTCCGAAGGTTGTCAGATGATTCACTAAAACTGCCCTGTCCCTCTGTGTCCTTGGCAAAGACCATGTAGGGTTGGGAGGGCCATCATTGGACAAAGATTAGTTAGGCATGTGTTAAAATATGCATGCAAAATAATGAATGAATATGGTATTCATCAAATAGTACACAATAGGTTTTGAAAAAGGGTTGGTTCAGCCAGGTTCTCTCCCCCCTTCCCCCGCCCGCCAAGCCTCAGGCACATGCCCCTGGGGCAAGCTCACTTAGATGTTGGTTTTAAACATCAACTAAAGCAGACTCTTTGGGCTAATGTGATCCCAGAGAGCGTTTATGTCTAGTAGACAATAGTTAAGTGTTCACTATCATTTTCTGAACCTGCATTTCATTCTTCTAGGGCCAAGTGTATGCAGTCATTTTCCCAGAGAGCCCTTCCTATGTGATGATGTAACTGCAGGGTCACAGCAGATCTTTCTGTACAGAGTTTGGTGTGCCCTTGCCTGGTGGGAGTAGGTTTCAGTGGTTACTGTAAACACACAATGATCAACTCCATTAGGTAGTGTTGGGGACTGACCCACTCTGCATGCGTCTGTCTTTTCTTTTGTTAATCCTCACCCAAGGATATTTTTTCCATTGATTTTTAGAAAGAGTGGAAAGGAGGGAGGGGGGAGAGAGAAAGAGAGAGAGAGAGAGAGAGAGAGGTGAGACAGCCTTCTGCATGTGCCCCGATCAGTGCCTGGGATCCAACCTGCAACTAAGGCATGCACCCTTGACCTGCAATCGAACCCACAATCCTTCGGTGCAGAGGTTTGTAGGGCGGTGGGGGTGCTGATGCTCTAACCACTTAGGAACACTGGTCAAGGCTGCACGCAAACAGCCCCTTCTATTTGTTCCCCTTGGACTTGTCATTGAAGCAATAACTTACCCATTTGTAGAAGAGAACACAATGACTTGGGCATCTTTTTGAGGTTAGCATTTTGGAGGGTTTCTGGGGAGAAGATTTGTAGGAGGAACGGGAGCAATAGCAAAGTGTCTTCCAGTGGTTGATTTTATATTCTGAGCATGAGTTGTGGGTGTAAGTATAGTGGGTGAGGACAGCTGTCAACTACCTGCTTATGTCAGTGGGTTGTATATTATCAGAGAAGTTAATAGAGAGTATGTTAGCACATTATCAGATTAACCTGGTTGTAGGGCTGGTATGGAATTGCAGCCTCTGTCCTTCTGGCTGACCATTTTCAGGATTGGCTACTCGGTTCCGTACATCAGAGGGTTGTAGTATACGGACCTGAGTAGGGCATATGTCCCAGTCAGGGCTATATATGTCTAAGTTGTGGGTTTGATCCCCGGTTGGAGCATGTATGGAGGCAACACATTGATCTCTCTCTCTCTCTCTCAAAAAAAATCAGTAAAAACATATCCTCTGGTGAGCATTAAATAAACTGTTAAAAAATAAGGAGTAGGGAGGGATGATGGAGATTAAGACCCAAAGGTTTAGTCAAGTTTTCATGGTTTTCCTTTTCTATTTGAGACCCCGGAGCACCTGGGCCCAGGGACAGCTGTGGCCACCTTTGGTAGTTCCCCTTCCAGCTCCTTTGAATCTTATACAACAAGCCAAAGGAATAGGAAGAACGATTTCTGCTTTGCCAAATAAGGAACTGGTGGTTTATTTAGATTTGAGATTTAACCTGATTTTTTAGCTTAGGATATTTACTCTGCCATGTCTTTGTGCTTTTTTCCTGCCAAAGCATCTACTGCCAGAGGAGATTTGGAGTCCATTTGTATGATTAGTGGATAGTAGAACTAATCTCCAATTTGATAAATCAGTCAATATCTGTCTCCACTTCCTTGGCATGAGTCCAAAAAAGTATTTCATACATGTGCACAGCTCAGAGATTGTGTGTGTGTGGTGTGTCCATCTGTCTCTGCATGTTTGGATGCTCTTGGGAGCAGTAGATTTGTGGGGGCATCAGATAAGACCAGGGAAAAACCAATGGCTTGGGGGAAGGATGAGTACAGTAAGTATTGTTTGGGGGCACACGTGAGAACACTTCCCTCATGTATCACCTACAGCTGCCACAATGCATAGAGTAGGGTGTGTCTTATGTTCCCGTTGGTTTTTGGGGAGCCTGTCACCTTTCTCTGCTTGTCCCTTGGGATTCAAAAAAGCCCTTTTGTGCTTCTTTCCTCTACTCATGTGATCACGCTGGGCAGGGAAATTTCTAGGCACTTCTTTGTTCATGGCCACTGGGATCTGACGAATGTTGGCCTGAGCTTTTGTGGCTCCCGAATGTGTCCTGGCCTCCTGATGGCCTTTCTTCCTCCTCCTCCTCCTCCTCACTCCGCATGGAGGTCACTGATGGTCAAAACCATGAAAGAAACAGTCCCTGTGTATTATGCTTGCTTCCTCCTTGCCCCTAGCCCAGGGGTGGGCAAACTTTTTGACTCGAGGGCCACAGTGGGTTCTTAAATTGGACCGGAGGGCCGGAACAAAAGCATGGATGGAGTGTTTGTGTGAACTAATATAAATTCAAAGTAAACATCATTACATAAAAGAGTACGGTCTTTCTTTTTTTTTTTTTTAGTTTTATTAATTTCAACCGGCCCGGATCCGGCCCGCGGGCCGTAGTTTGCCCACGGCTGCCCTAGTCTATAGGTCCAGGGGACAGGTCTTAGACCTGTAGTGGGCGTTTGGACATCTGACCTCAGTTTGGTCACCAGGCCGAGTGTGGGTCTGTGTGGGGGCACATCCAGCTCAAGAGGAGGCGTTCTTCCTTCAAGCCTGTGCTTGTCAGTGGCCTGGTGGCTTTCTCTCCTCCTGCCCACCTGGCACTCGCCAATTAGAGAGAAACAGAGGCCCTGTCTAAATTTGACCGTGGCCTAGATTTGGGGTGCAGCATGAATACCTTTGCCTGCACCCTTGTAGCCGGTGCCTGGGAAGCAGTGCTGCATGGCTGATGAGGAGAGCTGGGCTGACTGTGGCAGCCAGTGAGCTCCAGGCAGCGCTGCTGGGCTGGGAGTGGGCAGATGGCAGTCTTTGCTCCCAGTGGGCAGCTCCTGGCTCACGTGTACTCATCACCAGGGTACTGGAGTTGCCTGAGAGTCTCAGGCAAGACGCCAGCCAAGGAAATACTGTGCGTGAAATGTTTAGAGTAGGGCTCTTTGGGATGCCTTTTTTTTTTTTTTTTTTGGCTGCTTTCTTAAAACATAGTGAAAAACCTCTCTCCCTGGTGTTTTGTCTTATTGAGATTCTGAGGAACATGGGACAGTAGTTAAGCAGCGAAGCCAGGGGAGATTCACAAGGCAGGAACGTTTGGGTTTCCCAGGACTCTGCCAAGGCTCTGTGACCTGGAGCATCTGGGACTCTGTTACCAGCATTTCCTTTTTACTTTTATGTAGTGATTTCAGAGAGGGGGAGAGAGAAAGAGAAAAACATCAATTTCTTGCTCATTGTTTATGCATTCATTGGTGGTTGATTCTTGTACGCGCCCTGACCGGAGATCGAACAGGAAACCTTAGCATATGAGGATGATGCTCTAACCAACTGACTTACCCGGCCAGGGCTTGACCTGCCATTTCTTAAGCAGGGCTTGACCTGCCATTTCATCAGTCAGAACTTGGCAGAAAAGGGCAGGCGAGTCTCAAGGACAGAGGAATTTATCTGTCACTCTTGATGGGGGTGGGACTGCATTCTGCTTCCCTGACCTACTTTCATTTGATAAACTCTTACTTGTCTTCTTTAAACACAGTTTTTTAAGGAAGGTCATCCAGACCTACTGTGTGAAGGTTGGGAAATTAATGATTGGCCTCTCTGTATTTCAGCTGTAGAAGCCCTACTCGCTCATGTCCCACTCCTACCTGCCACCTCAATTTGTATACTGCATTTGGAACCTGTTGACCTCATCCTAGTTAGTGTTGTGGGGGTGGAGTGTTTTTCTTACACTCCCAGGAGTGCCTTTTACTCTGGGGTTAGTAACCGGCTTCTCAGCTGGCTTTAGGGCTCTGGTATCAGGCTGGGAATTAAGGCTCCTGTCGTTCATCACCTGAAAACAAGATGGACTGCAAGGTGTGACTAAAGGGCTCTAGCCACCAGGGGGCGCTGGACCCGTTGGATTGTATAATGCCCACGGCTTTAAGGTGGGAATGAAATAGGATTTTCTGTGGAATTGTTAAGTTTGCTGTGGGGCACAGGATTTTGTGTCCATCCTTGAGCACTGCTTCATCCATGGCACTTTTCTTTGCTTCTCTTTCCAGCCTGTGGGCCGAAGCTGACCAATTCCCCAACAGTGATTGTCATGGTAGGCCTCCCAGCCCGGGGTAAGACCTACATATCCAAGAAGCTTACTCGATACCTCAACTGGATTGGTGTCCCCACGAAAGGTGAGGCCATGTTCCAAGGCTGATAGTCACTCTGCGTGTGGCAATCCTGCTCACCAACTCCTCCCCCATTGTTTGTTTGTTTTTATATTTTTATTGATTTCAGAGAGGAAGGAAGAGGAAGAGAGAGATAGAAACATCAACGATGACGCCCCGCGGCCCACCCCCCACTGCCCTATCTCTAGCTGCTGGGACTCACCACACAAGACTATCTTGGCTTGATCGCTCCCTATAATGGGGGGACTTTTTGTGGCTGTGTCCCACCATGCTGTTTACACTCCCTTACTTCATGTTGAGATCTTTTCTGACTGGCCGCTCTGTTAGTCCCTCTGCCCTGAATCCTGCCTAGCTCAGCCCTTGCCTCCAAGAAGCCTTCTCTGGCCACCGAAGTCTATGCTGATCTTTTTCCTTTAAATTCTTGTGATATTCACCACTGACGGTCATAAAGTGCTCCATACGATTGACGATATTGTGATGAATCTTTGCCTGGTTTCTCAACTGTGTGGGAAATGTCTTAAGAACAGGGACTAACTTTTACATTTGTCTCCCCCGCTGGGCCCAGCACAGTGCCTCACACAGTAAGTGCCCAGTAAATACTCAGTGCTTCCTGGGGGTGCAGGCTGCTGCGTCCGCAGAAGAGTGGCTGATTTGGACCTGGCTGTGGTGCGCAAGCCCGCTCTCTCCTGGGCACCATCGGCAGAAATCATTCCCTGTTTTCATTAGATGTATGGCTGCCACCTATTCTCACAGCCTCAGTCTCCAGCCCCTGACCTCAGGAGGCTGGACTGGAGGCTGGGCTGTAGGCGACAACCTGTGAAAAAGCAGGTGGCTCTGAGCCATGTTTGGTCTGGGGGAAGCTGGGCTGCCTTCTAGGTCAGTGATTGCACTGGACAAGGCAGTTCCCTTTCTGGTTTCCACATCTTACCGGGATCTTATTCAAGTTGGCACGTGCATGTGTGTGTGTGTGTTGGCTTGGCTTCCCTTTTTGGAGAGTGTTCCTAGCTGTGAGTGGCCTCTTCTTCCTGGGGGCCAGCTGAGTGACCGCTCTGTTCCCTCTGCAGTGTTCAATGTTGGAGAGTACCGCCGGGAGGCTGTGAAGCACTACAGCTCCTACAACTTCTTCCGCCCTGACAACGAGGAGGCCATGAGAGTCCGAAAGTAAGGCCCGAGCTGCTGAGCTGCCGCAGGAGGCTTTGGGTTTTGGTTTGCTTTGCTTTTGAAAGCCAGGCTTGGTAAGAGAAAGAGGAAGCTGGCCTGTAGGGTGGCTCTCTGTAGGTGACCATCAGATCTGGCCCTACCTCCGTGTGTATTACGAGGAGTTTCCTGGCCGCTCTGAGGCTTGCTGCTTTTATCTACTCCGGATGCTCTAATCCAGCTCAAGAACAATGTTTCATTATTCAGAATGAACAAAATTGTTTTCATGGAAAATCAGCTGTTTATACTGGAAAGGGTGGTGGTGTTGTGTTTTTTAAGCCCAAGGTGATCATGAAACCCACGTGCAGTGGTGTTTAACCCTGGCTATACTTTAGAATCACCAGGGAGCTTAGAACGATCCCAATGCCAGGCCTACCCCAGACCAGTTTGGTGAGGATCTATGAGCCAGACCTGGGCATAGGTTTCTTAAAAGCTCCCAGGGGGTTTCAGTGTGCAGCCACATGAGCACCACTTCCAGATGGTAATGGCAGCCCTCTGTGCAGCTTGGGTGGGAGCCTCTGGGCCTATGGGGTGTGCTCCTGGCAGCCCTGGCCAGCCTGGGCAGTTCAGCAGTAAGATCGCCAGTCACTGCTCGGATGGGCAGGCTCTGATGTGTGTTCTCTTTCTCCGTGTTGCAGGCAGTGTGCCCTCGCTGCCTTGAGAGACGTCAAAAGTTACCTGACGAAGGAAGGGGGCCAAATTTCAGTAAGTCGGGAGAATGCCGGCCCTATCTGCAGCCCTGGAATGGGATGGTGCCCTGGAGAGAGTGAAATGTAGACACAGCCCGAGCCATTACCAACAGCCATTGTGGGGACACCTCAAATAGGGACGAGTGCCTCTGTCCTGAGAGTTGAGGGAAGCAGGTGGGACCCAGGGACCCAGGAAGGTGGGTAGCGGGCGGACTCGGGCAGAGCCATCTGGTGTGCTCTGCTCACCCCTCCTCTGTGTGCTCTCGGCACCACCCTCCAAGGCAGGCTGGACCTGGGGTGACTGCAACCACAGAGCCAGTGTCCCTTCCATATGCACCTTCCCTGCAGGTTACTGTTAGTCGTTTGCTTTAAGGGTTGTGCCCACCCCTCCCCTTCCTGCCCTGGGAGCTGGAGTTTGTGGGAGAGGGAAGAGAAGGGAGGGTTGTGGGGCAGGGTGCAGTTTCTCCGGGAACCACATTTTTTGGCTTCTACCTAGATGTGGCAGGCCTGATCTCCTTGGTAACTTGGTAAATACTGTTAAAACTCAAACTTGGGTTCCCTTCACTATCCTTCTTGCTCTCTACCAGGTTTTCGATGCCACCAATACTACTAGAGAGAGGAGACACATGATCCTTAATTTTGCCAAAGAAAATGATTTCAAGGTGAGCCAAACGTCTAATCTTGCCAGGGAGTGCTCAGGAGAAAGTAAAACCCTCAGGAATCAGCTGATTTATACTTGGTCCTTCAGCTTCTGCTGCCCTGGTTTTGCTACATGTAGATAGGGCCTTCCTGGTGCTGGCTTTTAGGGTTACTATGACTGGTGGGGTGGGGGGAGGCATCTCTTCGTTGGGGCAGGACGTGGGATTGAGTGAGTGGTTCCTTTTTTAGGTTTTGAGGATTTGTGAGAGGTGTCATTCCTCCTCACACATGGTGATGGCATTACAGTGATACCAAAGCTGGCCCTTTGCGTTACCACATTATTGCTTCCTAACGTTTCTGTCTCTCTTCTTCCCAGGTGTTTTTCATCGAGTCAGTGTGCGATGACCCTACAGTTGTGGCCTCCAACATTAGGGTAAGACAACACAGGACCCCCGCTCTAGTGGTGGAGTCTGAGAAAAGCAGGGAACCAGGTCAGGCCCAGAGAAGTACCTAGACCAGGGGTCCTCAAACTTTTTAAACAGGGGGCCAGTTCACTGTCCCTCAGACCGTTGGAGGGCCGGACTATAGTTTAAAAAAAAACTATGAACAAATTCCTATGCACACTGCACATATCTTATTTTGAAGTAAAAAAAACAAAACAGGAACAAATACAATATTTGTATTTGCATGTGGCCCGCGGGCCGTAGTTTGAGGACCCCTGACCTAGACTCTGAGAACAAACTGCCTCTCACAGCTTGTTGTTGATTTTGTCTGGGAGGTGGGATCCAGGGAGGTCAGCAGTGCAGAGTGGCATTTAACGTAGAAGCGTGTTCTGCGATCTGGCCTGGCTTTATCTACGCCCTTTCAGACAGTCTGCAGAAGGCACTTATTGTGGCACATGGGCGGTAAGGCAGGGTCTGGGAACAGTTTCTGTGGGTGGCAGTAGCTTGGTGGCTGGGTGGTGATGGGGTTGCTTGGGGTAAGGGGCACTCACCCCTCCAGGCAGGTAAGTGGTTGTGGATTGACAACAGCCATAGGACTCAATGGACTAAAGGCAGATCTCCTAATTTGGCAAGGTTGGGAGTAGTCAAACTATCTTCCTGCTGGTGAATCTACAACATATCCTCCTCCTCTCCCTGTGCCACGAGAAGGTTGCCTGGATAAACTGGGGGTAATTGGAGCTTAATTTGATTAATTCTTAAATTGTATCACTTGATAACAGTATATTGTAAATAGAAACAGTTACTGGGAAGACTTTACCACAAGTCACCTTCTAGATAATTTTCCATCTAGCTTAAATACATCAGAATAAGACACAGCTACACAGAGCAACAGGTCTGGTATTGCCTCAGAGCATGATGTGGTATCACTACATATAAGTGTGCACCTTTTAAAGGGTGTTGAATGCTCATGAGCTTCTGGTATTGGGCCTGTTCTCCAAGGCCAGCGGTTCTCAACCTGTGGGTCGCGACCCCTTTGGGGGTCGAACGACCCTTTCACAGGGGTCACCTAAGACCATCGGAAAACACATATATAATTGTTTTTGTGATTAATCACTATGCTTTAATTACGTTCAATTTATAACAATGAAAATATATCCTGCATATCAGATATTTACATTACGATTCATAACAGTAGCAAAATTACAGTTATGAAGTAGCAACGAAAATAATTTTATGGTTGGGGGTCACCACAACATGAGGACCTGTATTAAAGGGTCGTGGCATTAGGAAGGTTGAGAACCACTGTCCAAGGCAGTGGGAATATTTACACGCATTTCTAAGAAGTGACTTCATAGTTCAGGAAGGGCTATTCAAGTTGTGGAAAATCAGTCCAGAGTGGTTTCAGCGGAAGAGGCTCAGAGGACGAGGAAACAGAAGTTGTTGTAATCTAAACAAAGGGTTTTGCTGTATTTCTTTGGTTTGGTTTTACCAGCTCCACTTGGTAGGAAAGGACAGAGTCGCTGCAAAGTCACTCTTCCCGGTGACCAGCTGTCACCATGTGTGTGGCCAGGAGTCACTCGCCCCGACCCCCGTGATCAGAAGTCTCTTTCTCTGATTAAGCCTCAAATCGACTTTGTGGCTTAACTCTCCTCTTTGTGTGGGTGGCTGTGCTGGGAGAAAAGATTTGTTTTTAAGGGATCAGTTCCATGGCCTTCAGCATAGTCACACGATTGTGCAACCACCACAATCGAGCTCTAGAACTTTTTCGTCTTCTCAGATTGAAGCTCTGCACCATGAAACACCAACTCCCCACTGGACTTGGATGTTGAAAGAGTAGCTGCCTCTCTTTTGTGGCTGTGGTAGTTGTTGAGGAATCTTCCAGGTTGCTCAGATCTATTGTTCACGTAGAGGAGGAGTTGGCAGGCTCGAAAGTTGGTTCTCCTCCATCTCCTTCCCATAAGAGCGAACCTTGGAAGGAACGGGGCCTGAGTTAGAAAAGTGCTGGCCATGGACTGGCTGCTGCGTGTCTACGGGTGGTAGGGGAAGCATCCTGCCTGCCACCCAGGGCCAGGGCCAGGGCCATTGCAGCAGCACCGGGTGCAGCTTTGCTGTGTGGAGAATGTCACAGGTGCTTACGCGGAGCTCAGTTATTGAGGGCTGGGATGCTGAAGGTGACATGCCTACTGGGTTGATCCCGCATCGTGGCCAATTCAGAGGTGTTCATTAGACCCCTCGTGGGTCCCCCATCTCTGTCCATCCAGTCAGTGATCCTTTGTCTACCGTGGTGCTCTCCACGTATAATTGTCGGGTTATGACTCAGCACCAGTGTATTTCCTTCTTCCCTTAAACACTGGTTCGGATCATCATTATTCCAAGGCTGTCTGTGTTTTCCCCGATTGCTGCCCCAAATCCTGCTTCAGCTAAGCAGAAAGCCTCCAGCATGATTCATGAGCTGCCTCTTTGTGGTGTTACAGGAAGTGAAAATCTCCAGCCCGGATTACAAAGACTGCAACTCAGCAGAGGCCATGGAGGACTTCATGAAGAGAATTAACTGCTATGAAGCCAGCTATCAGCCCCTCGACCCCGACAAATGTGACAGGTAGTTCTTCGGAGGGGATCCTCTCTGAATCACCGACTTCAGGGCTTTTAAGTTCCCACAAATGCAATTGCTCCTGGACACTTTCAAGAACTGTCTTGTAAAATATCTTTTGAAGAAAATCCTTCACTGCATGTCCAGGGTAACTGTTTCAGATGCTAGCTATGTAGAAGTGCGGGAAGTGAATATCCAGCCCAGTCTTGCTGGGTCCCTTTGGCACGGCTTCTCTTTTCTTTCCCTTCTTTTGCTTTTCTCTCCCCCTCTTCTGGGAGGCCGTCAGCCTCTCGACCACACACTCTGCTGTGTGAGTTACGAACTCAACCTGTTAGATTACATAGATACAGACTGTGCCCTCCAGGAACATACAGCCAGACGGTGTGGTTCTGTTGGGGCCAATCTCTGCCTTGACCCCAGCCGGGTGCTGTGCTGATGGGGGGAGCGGGTTCTGACCTGCTGGTCGCCTTGCTCTGCAGGGACCTGTCCTTGATCAAGGTGATCGACGTGGGTCGGCGGTTCTTGGTGAACAGGGTTCAGGACCACATTCAGAGCCGGATTGTCTACTACCTGATGAACATCCACGTGCAGCCCCGCACCATCTACCTGTGTCGGCACGGAGAGAGCGAGCACAACCTCCAGGGGAAGATCGGAGGGGACTCGGGCCTGTCCATCAGGGGCAGGAAGGTAGGAGGGGAACGGGGGGAAAGGTAAGGGGCTCAGGGGTGGGGTGTGAGTGTCTGTATACGTGTGTGTCTCTGTGTGTGTGTCTGTGTGTCCATGCGTGTATATGTCTACATTTGTGTGTGTGTGTGTGTGTGTGTATGTGTATGTGTATGCATCTCTGTATGTATATGTGTTCCTGTGTGTGTGCCTGTGTTTGTGTGGATGAAAAGGGAACATCTCCAGGGCTGTAAGGAGGGTGTGTGGCTCCTCAGTTGCCTCCTCACCATTCTAGTGACCATCCCCAGTGTAGGTAACGAGCCCTGCACTGCCTCTCCAGGCGGCACAGGAGCCTGGAGTCCAGTGTGTGTCCCTCTTGTCCCTGCCCTCAGTTTGCCAACGCCCTGAGCAAATTTGTGGAGGAGCAGAACCTGAAGGACCTCAAGGTGTGGGCCAGCCAGCTGAAGAGCACCATCCAGACGGCAGAAGCCCTTCAGCTTCCCTATGAACAGTGGAAAGCGCTCAACGAAATCGATGCTGTGAGTTCCGGGTCTGGCTGTGGCCGTCAGGGGGCAGGAGCGAGAGGGCCAGGAAGCCTCTTCTTGCCGAATCTGCCTGAAATCCTGAGAGTCCTTTCAGACCACACGGGCTGTGTTGACCAACTCAAGGTGACCGGGGTGTTTTCTCCAGGGTGTCTGCGAGGAGATGACCTACGAGGAGATCAAGGACACCTACCCTGAGGAGTACGCGCTGCGCGAGCAGGACAAGTACTACTACCGGTACCCCACTGGGGAGGTACGTGTGCTGGCACAGCTGCCCCTTCCTCCAAGGTCCACTCGGCGAGCAATGGTCAGGTGTAGCTGCTGTGTGCTGTGCCTGGACGGTCCTTCAGGGGCCGCAGTGTTGGGCTAGCCTGAGAGAGGGCCGCTGGGCACCCCAACGGACCGTTACTGTGCACAGTGACCCACGTGTTGTTCTGATGCTTGTTCCTGGCACTTTCACCTTTGAGTCGGGTTTTCCTACACTGAACCTGTAAACAGCTCCAAGGGAAGTACCATGAGCAACAGTGAGAGCTGTGTTTCTCTAACGACACACAAGTGCGGGAAGGAACAGCAGTGGCGGGGGATTATTCCCTCGGTGCCAGGGTTCTCCCCTCGACCGCAGGCGAGATGCAGACACGCCATTGCGTCACTGCGCTGACTGAATTGGCCCTGATGCGGGCAGTCCCCAAAGGCCATATGTAGCTCACTTAGGCCGACTGAGCAGCTGCTTAGAGCCCTGGTCAGAGAGTCTGGGAAGCAGGTGGTGCTCTGGGCGTCCACGGCAGGTGACTCCGAGTGGGAGCCCTGCCCGTCTGGGGCCTGTCATCTCAGTTTCCCCATAGCCCAAGGTGCTATCCTTTTGTGTCACTCTGGCCGTCTTTCCTGGGACCTTGTTAGTGAGAGAAGGAAGGGGGATGGCAGAGAGGCCTTTTTCAACTTATTTTTATTGACATAAAATTTATATAATGTAAAACTCACTGTTTTAACCATTTTTAAGTATGTATTCCAGTGATTTTTAGTATATTCACAATACCCAGCCACCATCACCACTAGGTCTAGAACATTCCATCACTCTGAAACTCAGCAGCCCCTCTCCACATCCTCAGCAGCACACGGGTGATTTCCCTTTCCGAGGGAACCCACCGAGGTGGGTTCCCTGGGCCCATAGGCAGCAGCACTGAGACACACCAGGGTGTTACTGATCGATCTTACGTCCTCTAGTTCGTAGTGAGGGGGTCCAACGTGGCCCAGCTCTCGCCTTCCTGTGTGTGCGGCTCCAGCACAGCGCCTCTCCCTCTGTCCCTCTGTCTTGCAGTCCTACCAGGACCTGGTCCAACGCCTGGAGCCAGTGATCATGGAGCTGGAGCGGCAGGAGAATGTGCTGGTCATCTGCCACCAGGCCGTCCTGCGCTGCCTGCTGGCCTACTTCCTGGATAAGAGTGCAGGTGCCACATCCCCCAAAGTGTCCTGGGGGAGGGGTCTGGGAGCTGGCTGCCATCCTGAAAGGAGGAGGGGAAAATGGCCTCTGAGTTTGGGGCAGCAGCGGACCTGGTCCTGCCTTACGTGACCTGCGCAGGTTGCTGTTGTGCTCCTGAGGGCCCTCAGGCCAGCCCCTGGGAGCCGTCATAGCAGGACGTGAGGCATCGTGGGCCAACAGCTTCATTCACAGCCCCTGGAAGCCCTCGTCCACTCTCTTAGCGGCTTTGGGCCGGGTGGGGAGGGGCCAGCGCGTCTCTGCAGCCCCCCTCTAATGAACAAACAGCCCGGAAAACTCTACCTGAAAAATTTAAGTCTGAGTCGGCCAGAGGTTCAGCTGAACCCTGACACACTTTTTTATTTTTATTTTTAACTATAACTCATTCGGTGAGAGCGGGTTTGGGGCTTGCTCTGATTTGTTCTTTGGGCTAGGTGTCTTTTCTCAGGCCGCCTGCCTTCAGGGAGGGCCTGTGTGAGAGTGGGGCCGGGGAGATGCCGCTGAGGGTCGGACCTGGCCAAGCTCTCTCTGGGGGCCTGGGAATGTCCATCCCAAGTCTCATGTCTGATCATGGGGCCCTTTCTCATCTTTCCAGAGGAAATGCCTTACCTGAGATGCCCCCTTCATACTGTCCTGAAGCTGACGCCAGTCGCTTACGGTGAGTGTGGTGACGCCGGCCGTGCCACGTGAGCCTTGCCGCCCTGGGATGGTGGCTACGGGGCTGCAAGCGGCTTGTCCCCTTTCACCATGACCTGCTCTCGAGGGAACCCACCGAGGTGGGTTCCCTGGGCCCATAGGCAGCAGCACTGAGACACACCAGGGTGTTACTGATCGATCTTACGTCCTCTAGTTCGTAGTGAGGGGGTCCAACGTGGCCCAGCTCTCGCCTTCCTGTGTGTGCGGCTCCAGCACAGCGCCTCTCCCTCTGTCCCTCTGTCTTGCAGTCCTACCAGGACCTGGTCCAACGCCTGGAGCCAGTGATCATGGAGCTGGAGCGGCAGGAGAATGTGCTGGTCATCTGCCACCAGGCCGTCCTGCGCTGCCTGCTGGCCTACTTCCTGGATAAGAGTGCAGGTGCCTCATCCCCCAAAGTGTCCTGGGAGAGGGGGCTGGGGAGATGCCGCTGAGGGTCTGACCTGGCCAAGCTCTCGCTGGGGGCCTGAGAATGTCCATCCCCAAGTCTCGTGTCTGATCGTGGGGCCCTTTCTCATCTTTCCAGAGGAAATGCCTTACCTGAGATGCCCCCTTCACACCGTCCTGAAGCTGACGCCAGTCGCTTACGGTGAGTGTGGTGACGCCGGCCGTGCCACGTGAGCCTTGCCGCCCTGGGATGGTGGCTACGGGGCTGCAAGCGGCTTGTCCCCTTTCACCATGAGCTGCTCTCTCCCCTGGCCAGGCTGCCGTGTAGAATCCATCTACCTGAATGTGGAGTCCGTGAACACACACCGGGAGAGGTCAGAGGTGAGTGGAAGCTCCGGGCCTCCACCCTTGAGCACCCCTTCCTGTCCTCCATCCCGAGGACTGTCCAGGGCCGGGACCCAGACGTGTGAGCTCTGGGGAAGTCCCTAGTATGGTGTTGCCTGTGAATGCTGAAGGAAGTCTCGGCTCTCACGGAGGTAGTTTGTTGGAACCCGGAGGGCCTGGGTGACTTTCTCCTCTCCCTTTTCTCAGCATCTGTGCGCTCCTGCCCTGTCTTTCTTGTGGCTTCTTGCCGTCTTCACTGTTTCTCTTTCCATGCTTTCTTCCCCCATTTCTCCCTGACCCGAGAAGTGAGTAGTAACGAGGGAGACACATTCTGCTCTTTAACTGTAACCACAGCACAGATATTCTTGCCTTTGCCTCTGAGGCAGCTAAAACTGCTTTCAGTTTCCAGAGCCACTGGTTAAAACGGTCACCTCTTTGTGCGTAGGTACAGGATTACCAGGAAAGGGGTAATAGTGAAAAGGGAAGTGGGACTGGAGAAACATATGATTTTTTTAAAAAAACATGTTTTTATTGATTTCAGAGTGGAAGGGAGAGGGAGAGAGAGATAGAAACATCAATGATTCGAGAATCACTGATCAGCTGCCTCCTGCATGCCCGACACTGGGGACCAAGCCTGCAACCTGGGCATATGCCCTGACCGGGAATCCAACCGTGACCTGCTGGTTCATAGGTTGACACTCAAGCACTGAGCCACGCCGGCCGGGTGGAGAAACGTATGATTTGGAAATTAGGGACAGGAGGGATGGTGGGTGGAAAGTTTTCCAGGAGACACCAGAGCCTGGTGGTATTCGATCATCCTCTGGGAGGTCTGCGATCTGGTGGTCGGCCTGGCGGGCTCTCCCCAGGGCGGAGCCACTTTCTCCCCACATGTATGTCATGGGAGAAAGTTGGAATTTACTTTGTACCGACTGCCGAAATGTGGTGCTTGGCCAACATCAGCCCCACACTTTCCTGTATACCGAGTAGGACATGCCCGACTGTGCAGGGGACTTTCCTGTTCCCTGGGAGCTTGACCAGAAGATTTTGGCATGAAAACCCTGGCTTCCACCGGCAGTTGCCTGGCTGGTTGACTGAAACGCAGGAGGGCAGCATCCCCTGGCTCTGTGACCCCCCTCTTTGGACATCTGTGGGTGGCGGATGCTGCATTTCCTCTCGCTCCGTGCGGAGCAGCCTCCCAGCCGGATCCCCCAGCTTCGGGGTTTGGCTGCACAGGGCTCTGATGGTCCCTGAACACTGTGCAGAACCGGGGCAGGTCCTTGGTGGAGACAGACTCCAACGCAGGCTCCTGGGTCACATGCTACAGTGACAGGCCCCGGGGATCGCTACAGTCGCATTGTCACTTGGTCAGAAGGCTAGTGTTTGGCTCTGGCTGGCTGTTTCTGCCTCTCTCCGGTCTCGTGTCTCCTGGCTGGCTTTGGAACCCTCCTTTCCTGTCCTGAGCTGGGTGTAGGCTGGATGCAGGAGCAGTTCTATGCCTGCTCTGCAGATCCTGGCTCACGGTCAGTACGGGGGTGTCAGCACCGACACCTCCCTCCTGCCTTCCTGTCCTCCTGCTGGCCTGTCCCTTCTCCGAGCTCACGTCCAGGCCTCTCTCCCCTCCATGCCCCTCCTTGGAGGCTGGCAGCAAGGTTCTTCTCTCCCACCTCGTCGTCCACTATAACTGAATGACTGTCAGAATTGGTCCTGCTGTTCTCCCCTCGCCTGCTTTGTGAACGTCGAGCTTGTCTGGGTGGGTGTCTTGGGATGATCCAGAAAAGGGCCTCCGGAGAAGATCATCCCTTGTCGACCGGGAGATGCAAGACAGAATGGCAACCCGTATCCCAGGGCCGTTCACCTTGGTCGGTCTTGTCCCGTCAGTAAACTCCAGAAGCAGAGAAATGTGTTTTGATTGGGTTTGGTTTTTTTTTTTTTTTTTGGCTTATTTACCCCCCTTCTCCGTGTAACTGTCGCCTTCTCTCTTTTGTCTTTGTCTCGCTTAGGACGCAAAGAAGGGACCTAACCCACTCATGAGACGCAATAGTGTCACCCCACTAGCCAGCCCCGAGCCTACCAAAAAGCCTCGCATCAACAGCTTTGAGGAGCATGTGGCCTCTACCTCCGCTGCCCTGCCCAACTGCCTGCCCCAGGAGGTGCCCGCACAGCTGCCTGGACAAGTGCGTGACCCCCCTTTTCCTTCCTGGCCATCGTGTCTCCTGTCTGGATGGAGAGACTGCCCTTGGGTACCACCATAGCCTCAGACCCAGGCCTGCATGGGGGTGGGGGAGGGGAAGAACATGGGATAGCGTCTGAAGTTTGTAACATCCTGGAGGTCCAGTCAGGCCCTTCCTGACCATGGCTGTGAGCGTGCATACCTGCCTTCTGAGGAGGTTCCCTTCACTGGGCAGAGCTGGGCAGAACCGGGCAGAACAGGAGAAATGGTGGTGTCTGTGTCCTCTCATGTTCGTGGATAGGTTTTGCAAAGCAGCGTGGAAGGCAGCCCTTAGGTTGGAAGTCTGCATGCAGTCTGGGCCGTTGGCTTCTGCATGGCCTGAGGACATCTCTTCTGTCCCAGGCCCATGGCTGAGTAGTTCTCCTTCTTTCTCACCGAGGCTTCCCATTGTGGAAAAGCTGTAGTCAAAGGGGGCCCTCGGAGAATGTCCTTAGCCGGAACCCACATGGCCCAGTGGGCACCTGGGCAGCCTAACTCCCAGGGCTGGATGGTCTGGAAACAGCCACTTGCTCACAGCAGTTGCTTTGGCAGGTAGCGAAAAAACCAACTAGACTTCACTTTATTCCCTGTGAAGATTAAAGGCGGAAAGTTCTCCGCTACTGGGCGAACAGATTAAGATTTGTTTTTAGAAATGATAGCCAAGATTCTGTGACACATAGAAAGAAATCTCTGGGCGCAAATTTGGGTCCCACCCAGGGTCTTCCCCCACCTCCACCCACCAGGCCTGTCTCTTACAAATAAGCCACGGCTGACTTTGGATTGGATTTGTCTGAGTTCGGTGCTGAGGCCTGTACTCTCCCTGCATTTTGCCTGAAGCTCATTTAAATCCTGTGGTGTCTGGACATGGGATGTGGGGACAAGTACTGTGCAGTCTTGGGCAGGTCATTGAACCTCTTCAGGCCTCGGTTTTCTCATCTGGAGAATAGGGGAGTAATGCCAACTGCCACAGCAGATCAAAGAGGGAAGAAGTGCTGAGCATCAAGCACGGTATCTGCCCCTGGCACTACCTGTAGGATTTTATTGTCAAGTTACAGCCCTCCCTGGCCTTCAATCTCCGTATCTTTCCAAATGAGGGGGTAGGACTTGGGGGTATCAAATTAATATTCCTTTTAGGTCAAAAATTTGAGGTGTTTTTTGTTTGTTTGTTTGTTATATGAAAACAGAACTGGAGCTCTACGTGGCACATCTATGACATTGTTTTGGTGTAAACTGGGGCCACAGTTGGAAGTTTAGAGGCTCCTGTCATTGACACTTGCAGGGACTGGCCTGGGCTGGGTTTGGCCGTGGGTGTGTGGGACTGCACTATCCCCGGTCACGGAGGATGCATAGCTGGGGCTCTCCCAACTTTGGCAGGACAGTCCTTCGGGGCTGCTGAGCTGCATCCTCAGGGAGCCTGGAAGCTGGGCCAGGCTGGGGGTCCCAGCAGAGGGATCTTGATTTCACACAACCTGGGCCTTGTACCCTGTCCTCTACTGACCTCTCTCTCAACCTTTTCTCTCTGCAGCCTTTGCTAGGGAAAGCCTGTTTGTAAGTATTTTTCTCTGTATGGTTTTGCTGCTAGCACCTCTTTCTCCTAGCTTGCCAGTTTGGCCTCCTGTCTGTTACAATGTTGAGGTTAACGACAGTTTTTGTGAAATATGAAGGAGGCAAGATTGGCACTGACGGAGGGAGAGGAGGGATTCATGAGTTTGTAGCACAAGACACAAAAGGAATTATGGCCCAGCTGTTTTCTGCGTCACTCCCCCTCGGCATCCGGGGTTACTGTTAGTGCTAAATCTCATTTGTCCCCTTTGGCATCAGATTTTGGTGGTGAGCTAAGTCTTCTGCCTGCTACTGTTTTTTAAAATTCTATGTCTCCCGTAGGAGAGCCCTTTCATTCCTAGGGGAACATTTACCCAGAGCCTAATCTGCAAAACAGGAGGAGCTGCAGCCTCTCCCTCTTGTCCTGGCAGGGACTCCAACCCCCCCAACCCCCCAACCTTGGGGCTCCAGGACCCCCACACTTTGGAGCGGTCTGATTGGAAACCGTTGTTTGGAATCAGGTTGTCCTGTATGGGAACCTGCTCAGCCTTAATAGTCATGTTCAGGATTGGAGCCAGCTTTTGAGTCAGACCCGTTTGGCTTCCCCTTGCCTGCAGCCAGAGCTCTCTGCAGAACGTTCTGGTTAAGTGTCAGCTAGAGCGTTTCCAGTGCTCCGGTGGGCCCCAGCTACAGAAGGAACCAAGGCCTTTCTACTGCAGTTCAGAACAGCCACCCGAAATATCACCTCCTCCAACCCCTCAAGCGCACCTACCCGCGATCCCTTTTGCTGATTAGGGCCCCTCCACCGATTCATGCAGAAGCCAAAGGCCTTTAGGAGGTCAGCCCATAAGCTTAAAAGCTCGGCTTGCTCTGGGAAAACAGGAGTTGTTGGGCGCTTAGATTAGGTGGCACCACCTGTACTGCTTGCACAGAATCTCCTATCTTTGATCCTTAACCCCAGGATGTCTGAGGGGCAGTTGCTATCCGAGGGCCCAGGTCAGCCGGTGAGTGGCAGAACCAGGACTTGACCAGGCCTCCCTGTCCTGAGGCTGGCTGCTTTCTCTGGGCTGGTTTCTGGGAACAGTCAAGATACTGTTCCCCTGCCCCTGCCTTGAGCACCTGAAGTTTGCCACCTGTGGGGCTCTGCCTGGAGCTGTTTGATTTCCTTTTTAGCTCTTTCGGCCTCTCCCATGCAGCTGTTTCCCATGGCTGAGGTGTGTTTACTTAATGTGGGCGTGTCCATGGAATTCAGGCTTGAGGAGCCACTGCCCCAAGCATCTGTGCATCTCCTGTTTCTTTTGACTCATGGCCTGGAGCTGCCAGGAAAGAAATCTTCCTGCTGGAGGGGGCCATTTGGGCACCTCCCCTGCATACTAAGCTTGAACTTGCCCGTCTCTAAGACTAACAGCACCTTTGGCTACACTCCTTCCAGTTCTCTGGACCCTTCACACCTGCATTCACTCTGGGATTTCAGCGCTCAGCCCAGCCTGGGAGCACAAGTCCTTCTCTGGAGCTGTAGTTCCCAAAATGTATTGTTAGAGTCACACTGAGCCGGGTTTGGATCTTGGTTCTACTACCCTCTCAATTTGGAACTCTGGGCAAGGTGGTGTCATTCTAGGACTCCAACCTCCTCGTCTGTGAAATGGAGTTAGGAACATTGCGAGGTGTTTTGATAATGTAGCACTTACAGAATCTCTGGCACGTAGTCAGTGCCCTGTGGCCGATAGTCATTATGGTGGGAGAGATGGTGCCCTGTGCCTTGGTGGGGATGTCCAGCGCTCTGGCTTGCACTCCCACTCTGCATTTTGATGACCCCCTGTTCCCTCTGCACAGGCCAGTGGCATTTCTTCTCATGAGCAGCAGGAGCACCAAGAGGCTGGGGGGTGGGGGAACCCCTGGGATCTTAAGGGCTGTGGTTGGAGGATGCCCATAAATGTGGTTTCCCAACAAAGCGAGCATGACGGCCCAGCCAATGTGGTGTCCTCCAGTCCAGTCCTGGGGGCTGTTTCCTGTGCTTGGGGCCAGCCAGTCACCATGCATCCTTGACTTTGAAATTTCAAATGCACACTAACAACAAAATGCTCCCTAAGATGTGTTTTGTTTTTTCTTTTCCAACATGTTTCTTCCTTTGCCCCCACTATGCTTGAAAGACGAACTGTCTGTCACATTTTCTCAAAGTTTTCTCCTTACTAACCTTGGAAAGGTAAATGGCTCGGTGCATGCCTCTCTCAGTCCCCTCTGCATCTCTCTGAGTCATGGCATCTCTGCCTGGCAGGGCGCCTCGATCTGTGTGAAGACTGGCCATTGTGAAGTGTGTGACTCATACACCCCATGCCAGAGAACTCATGATTTTTTTAAGAGCAGCACCCTTGTCCTGAGGTCCCCTCTCTCACTTCCTCCTTTCCCTCCATGTGTCCTGAGCCAGGGACACCATGAGTGAATGGTTTGACAATGCCTGTGCCTGCGGCCCCCAGTGTCATTGTCCCGTCGCCATCATTTGTGGGTGCTCGGAGTCAGGCTTGACATGTGTGAGGACGGGTTGGAGGCAGCTGGGCAGCACCTCGCTCTGACCCTACAAGTTGACTGGGGCCTCTCTGGTTTCGAGGCTATAGAGTTTCCCAACAGACACCCACATCACAGAGAGTGTCTGATGTACTGTAGTTGGAGGTCCAGTCGCCTGGGCTCCCGAGTCCAGCTGAGAGCAGGCTCAGATCTGGCCTTCAGTTCTCCCAGCCTGGGCTTCTCCTCTGTCGGGATTCCTGCACCAGGGCCCTTGGTTCTGCAGGGAAGGGAGTGGGCCCAGGTAATCCTTGTATATTTGTCTCTCTGGGTTCCACTCTGTACCCCTGCCCTATAAGACAATCCTGGCATAGACACTCAGGATGGGAGAGAGCACTTTTTAAAAAAGAGTCTCCCTTTTGGTGGGTAAATTAAGGAGGTTAAAGAGACCTCTGCTGTGTAGTGGCAGCCATCATTCATCCCCAGCTGATAGAAAAACATTGGGGAGGGGGGGGCGGTTTGGTACTGGCCAGCTTCTTACAGACAAGGTTTCTGGCTGGGATTACTTTTATGAGAACGGGAAGAGAGCCTTAGTGACAGTGCCCATGTCCAGCCCGCTCACGGCACCTGTGCTCCAGCCGCCAAGCTCGTGTTCCTAGGATCTGGATCTCAGGGGCTGAGGTGTGTGGCCCTGCTTGAGCCGAGTGGGGAGGAGAGTCCGTGTGCTTTTTTAGAGGGCCTCCTGGAGCCTCTGCCTGTCGTGGCCAACAAGACTTCCCGGGGCAGGGGCAGCCCCAGGGCTCTCAAGAGCTGTGAGCTGAGGGGGGGTCCTCTACCTGTTGGCCCCATTGCTCCCCAGGACAGCTCTGACCTACAGAGCTGCCTGCTGTCCCTCTTCTCCTTCCTCCGCCATGAGGCCTTCTCCTGTGTGACCCTGGCCTTCACCTCCACATGTTCCTGGGGCCTCCCTGGGCAACTGCCACCAGTTTGGTTACTAATGTTCTCCCGGGATTGTGTTTTTTGTTTGCGGGGAGGGAGGTTGAAGTCTCAATTGCATGGTTTTAGTCTTTTGCTTTGGAAACCTAGTCAACAGTAATAACTCCCCTTCCCCATCCTTTTTCTCCTGAAAACAGAACATGAATGGCTCCCAGAGCAGCGTCGACTCCTCCCAGACACACTGAGGCAGACCCATCGGTTCCATTCCATTTCCATTCCTGCAGCTTAGGTAGGGCTCTTCCCTCCACCCGAGGCCGACCATGCCAACGGCTTCTCCCGGAAAGGGCTGGGCGGCGTAGAAGAGGGGTCTGCTGGTCAAAGTGAACCTCTGCTCCCAACAGCACCTGGGCGGCCAAGACCCCAGCACGCCTTTCCTGTGTGTGCACAGAATCTAGGCTTCTGTGGCCACCTCCATCCCATGCTCTCCCCACTGTCCAGGCTGTGTGGCCTCACGGACCCTTCATAAGACTTGGTGAGGACAATGAGCCGTGGAGGAGGTGAGAGAAGGCCCTGAGGAGGGGACGGACATTGGACACCTCGTGCTGTTTTTTTGTTTCATGTCTGTGACCTTGGCCTGGAATGTTCCCAGCTGGGAAAATGACATTGGTCTCAGAATCCTAAAATTGAAGGGGCCTAGGTCCCAGTTGCTGACAGTTCAGGGACGTAGGACACTTCATAAGGCTTGTTGGTGCATCTTTGCCTGGGATGTTGACCTGTGAAGACAAGACGAGTTGCTGGGGTGGAGCTGGCCAGAGAGCCAATCTGGAGGTGCAGACAGAAGTCCCTGGGCTGGACTCGCTCATCAGCTAAGCAGTGACCCTCTCCGTGTCCACACACTGTCCCAGGCCTGTGCTCAGCCACTGAAGATGTTGGACAGTCTGGTGGTGTTGGCAAGAGGAAATGGCCCCGGGGCCTCACCCTTCCCGGGAGCTGCGTGGTCCCTCTGCCGCAGGCCTGGATCAGAGGCACCTGAGTGAGACATGGCTTCCCTGGGGCTGCTTTGCTTTGAAATTTTTCTGGCAGAACATGTGACCTGAACATCATACCTTCCCTTCAGGAATTTAGATGTTTGGGTTTTGTGCCCCTGGGGGCTAGAGCTCTGGAAGAATGTGGGGAGTCAGGCATTCCCATGAGATGGGGGGCGCAGAGGAACCCCAGTAAACGGCTGGGAGCAAGCGCTCAGATCATTGCAAGACAGCCCCCGGGAGACAGCATGGAGAACAAGGATCCAGCCTCCTTCCTTCTGGACATTCATCACTTCCCGTGTTTCCCAGGTGGGGACAGTGGCCCAAGCTAGGCCCCACTCTGGGCCTCTTCCTCCAAGAGGCTATGTTCATGGCCTCCTGCAGGAGTCAGCTCATTCCCGCACGTTTTCATGGAGCATCTGCTGTATGCCGAGCATGGTGTGGGTTCCTCGGGGAATGTCCTCTCTTGCCTTAGTGGCACCTGTGACATTTTTGAGGGGCATTTCAAGCAGGAATTGGGGAACATGTGATTCTAAATACCTGTAGTTTCTATCTCCTTGTTGCCTCCAAGTAAAGGGTGTCCTGCGGTCCAGAAGAAACGGTTTGGAGACAGTTTTTGTCCAAATGACCTTTGAGGATCTTTCTAAAAGCTGGTGCCAAAGGTCATGTTCCTTTCCTGCCCTCTGCTTTTGAGCCTGACATCCTCACCCTGCCTGGCCTGTGAGCTAGCTGAGAGCAGGAGTGGGCAGGCTGAGACAGAGGGAGTGGGGAGTGGAGAGAACCTCTATTTTTACTTGAGAGGAGCTTTTAGAGAGTGTACGTTTCTCTGATTGGGATTACTTGGGAAGTGGAACATGCTTCAGATACCATACAATAAAATGGGAGGTTTTCACACCAAATCACTCAACCCCTGCCCCTTACTTGGCAGTCTGCCTGAGAGGATCTGTATGTAACATTCTGTACCACTGAAGATGGGTTATTTTCCCTCTTTCTCGCTCTCTTGTGTCCAGCTGACGCGAGTGTGTGCTTGTAGGGTGGGCGTATATTTAGGCAGAGGGGCCTGTGGTTCTGCTCTTGAGGAAGACTTCACTGTGTCCCACTTTCTGGAACTCTCTTCCTGGTTGTCAGAGCTAGCTCTGGTTTTTGACTCTTACAGCCGATTTGAGTGGGGTTGCATGAAGGTGCACACCCCTCGCCTCTGACAGCCTGAAGTAGGTACAGACAAATGAGGCTTTGCCTCCCACAGAACATAGTTGTAAGGGCCTGGGTGGGGCATAGGCATGAATATGGATGGGGAGGGAGCCTTGGGAGGAGCCGAATGCTGCTGAGGTCACCTCTGAGTAGGTGTTGGATGGAGGGTGTATGGGAGCTGCAGGCACGGAGCACTTGCTACTTTATTGCCTCTCACTCCCCCTCACCTCCCCACCCCAAAATATCTGGGACCAATTTTTTTTTAACTTTGCATATTTGTTTTTGGGTAGGTGGACCCCTCTCCTTTTTCTGTCCTGAGACCCTGGACAAAACTCTTCATCTGGGGGGAGAAGAAAAACTGTTTGAACCACACCAATGATGCTTTCGTTTGTAATACTTGAAAGTTATTTTTTTATTATTTTGATAGCAAATGTGCTATTTATTTATTTAATGTGTATAAAGGAGCTTGAACATAGACAATTTCTTATATTGGGTTGTTGTTTGTCGGTTGGTTTGGGGCCTTTTACGTGCGACTTAAGACTTCTCTGCATTCTGTATATTTGTCTGAATTAATTATCTGGGATGAAGCTGTGCTGGCTTTCACACAGGGGCTGCCTTTCAGAAATTTGTATATTTTGCAGTTGCCAAAACAATAAAATACCCAATTGAAATACACTATAGTACACTTCTGGTCTTTTTTGGGGGGGGGGGGGTGGAGAATAATATACCTGTAGAATAATATTATACCTGTAGTTTAGGGAGAGGGAGAGAGATGGAAACATCAATGATGAGAGAAAAATCATTGATCGGCTGCCTTTTGCACGCTCACACTGGGGATCAAGCCTGCAACCCAAGCATGTGTCCAGATAGACTGATGCTCTATCCACTGAGCCAAACCAACGAGGGCAAGAAGAATCTTTGACACTTTTGGTCAGTACACTAAGTTTCTACCCCTCAGTTCTTGACCTCCCTCTGCATTGCTTCCTTTAAACAGGACATGCAGATACTGATGGCCTAGTGCCAGCTTTTGGGAAACAATAAGCTGTGTCAACTTTAAAATAACAATGAGAAACTTGATTTCTTATAACAGTGCAGGTTTACAGGAAAGAGCAGCTAGTACAGAGTTCCCATGTGCTCTCCCCGTCCCTGCACAGTCTCCCTTATTATTAACATATTTCACTAATGTGGTGCACCTGTTCTGGTTGATGAGCCAATATTGATACATGTCTATTAGAATCCATAGTTTACACTAGGGTTCGCCCTGTGTTGTACGGTTCTATGGGTTTTGACAAATGCATACTGATATGTATCCACCATTACGGTATACAGTATGCCCATCGGTTTTTATTCCTTTTATTCCATCCCCTGCCTCCCCAGCCCTTACAAACAGCAGCAGTTCTCACACAGCAGCCGGGCTGGTCTGGGTCTGCATTCCTCCCCCCAGGCACTTGCCTCCTGTAGGCCAGTGCGGCTGATCAGAGTCTCCAGTCAGACTGATTCTCATCTCACTTTGCCCTGGGCTCACTTTCCACTTTTCTCACCAGCATGGTTAGGAATATCTTAACTTGGAATTATTTAATAAATGGTACCACTACAAGAATTGCTCAACTATCTGGGAAGAAAAAGCTAATGAGGTCATAGCATTGTAAGATCTATCTTGACCTATATGATTTTTAACATTTTTTTATTGATTTGAAAGAAAGGAGAGAAACATCGATTTGTTGTTGCACTTATTTATGCATTCATTGGTTACTTCTTGTATGTGCCCTGACCGGGGATTAAACCCACAACCTTGGTGTACCAGAACAATGCTCTAACCAACTGAGCTACCTGGCCAAGGCTAGGCATATATATGTGTATATATACAGATAGATATATATTTTTTTTAAAACCAAACTATTAAAAAGGAGAAAAAATATTGGTAAATGTTTAAATTTTTGATGGACAGCGATCAAGATTAAAAGCAATAAAAGAAACTATAGCCCTAGCTGGTTTGGCTCAGTGGATAGAATGTCGGTCTGTGGATGGAAGGGTCCCGGGTTCGATTCTGGTTAAGGGCACATTTTTGGGTTGCTGGCTCGATCCCCAATAGGGGATCATTGATGTTTCTATCCCCCTTTCCCTTCCTCTCTGAAATCAATAAAAAAATATTTAAAAAGATAAAAAGAAAATAAACTACAAAGGAAAAGATTTCACAATGTAAATATTTTAAGTTCAAAGTCATCAAAAGTCAAGCAAAAGGGGAAAAAAATACTAAGAAACATTTGCAACAAATTTGTCACCACCACCACCACTCATTATCCTAAAATATATATTGGAGACCCATCTGAAGCGATAAAACATCGAGATTTTCCTAGATACCTGGACAAAGGCTTTTATTCGATCCTTATCACAAACTTTTTGATGTTTTAAAGAATAAAGATGAAACAGTGAAAGTTTGGTGGAATTAAGTCCTAAAGATTGTTTTCTAAACTTCATTTTGAGCTCACATTTTCAACACAACGTGAGTGGGTTCAAATCTAGTTTTTCTTGGAGTGTGAGCAGGTCTTCACAGTCAATGTATTTATGGCCCGGGTAATCTATAAAGACACTGATTTCAACCACAGGTTCTGACATACTCCTAAGATGATATTGGAAGAACCCCTGTAAAGACAAGAGAAGCACCTCAAAACATGGTACTCTGGCCACTTACGACTAAAGAGGGACCTTTGCCCACTCTCTGAGAGAAGTCTGGATCTATTTAATAGTGTGGGTGTCGGTAGAAGCCTCATCTCCTTTGTACCCACAGGGATCATTAGCCACATTCGATTCCATGTACAGGATAAAATGAAGATTAGGGGCAGACTGGGTTGGTAGACTGTTAGAAAGAAACCTAGTGGTGGTGGGGATGGAGGTGGAAGAGTGTCTCCCATATACAAAATATTTTATTGCATTGCCCATAAGTGCTCAATGAAAGCTGTCCACTTTTAGTTCTTTGAGGACTAAACTTGAGCTGCAGGCCTCAGAGGAATTCTGTCTCAGATATGTAGGATTAACTGAGCAAAAGATGTCTCACTGGGATACGCTGACAAATACACTCGGTGTGAACAAAGGGACAGAAGAGGCACCCAAGGCCTGGGTGGGACCAGATTCTTTCCCATTAAGTCCTGACTGTGTAGTAGTAGAATCCAGGGGCTGGGGAAAAGAGAGGCACCAGCCAGGTGTGATGAATCAGTGAAACAACCCCAGGCCTTGGAGATGGGCGGTTCACATTTCACCTCTCTGTCCCACCACATTCCAAATGTGTGGACTTAAACAAGTTACTTCATATTTTTAAACTTGTTGCCTATTTATAAAATGGGGGAAATCCATACTGTATTTTTATTACAAGATGCATCATCAATTTATTAGTTTTATACAAAACAGGACAAACCATGTGCACATCAAATGCAAGACCAAATTCAATTTTAAATGTGTTGAATGTAGACAAAAATTTTCCTTAGAAGTCAAGAAATAACACAATTATTTTTCAGGCTTTTTGTGAGGACTAAATCTTACAAAGGAAGAGCTCTTGACAGTTCCTGGCACAGAGTAAGCTCCGAAATGATAGATATTAATCTAAAAATGTGTGCCACGAGCTTTAAATGCCAAGTAGGTAATGTACTTTGCAGGTGTAGAGGCCAGGAGAACTCAAGGATTCTGCTGGATTGTTCTCAGTCATAACTGGGGGAAAGCCTCAGGCCTGTCAGACTGTCTATCACACAGCCTGAGAGGCACAGAGCTGGGCAAGGCCCTGCTGGATGGATCATCAACCACAGGAATTGGATTGAGTCACATGCTAATTAGCAAAAAGTTTTTGTGTTCCTGGGGCTACAGAGAGATCTCTGCAACCAAATGAATAAAAGGTTTCTTTACCAGATAGCCAGTATCTAAGGTTCTGTATTTTCCCTTTCCCAATCTCTTCCAAATAGGGCCTGGAGGAAATAGGGCCCAGCATGTTGGGACACCCTATTCCTGGGTTACATGAAGACTTTCCCACGGGTACACTGGCATAGATAGTTTTAGAGGAATAGGTTTCCAGAGCCTCAGCCTCTACACTCACTCTTTCTAAAACAGTCTGGAAAGTTTGCTTATATGCACAATAGTTTCTCTGCTTTGCAAACAGAAGGCAATGCCCTCACCCACCCCAAAGTGCTTACTAAAGTGCATTGCCCCCAGAGTGAAAACACCTCTAGGTCACCCAACAAAGAGAAGCTCCTTTAGTGATTAGCCCAGGGACTATAACCCCAGGGATTTCTTTCCTCCACTACCTTTTTGTTAAAGGTTGGAATGTTCTGAATTTAGAGCAACTGAAGCAGTATAAGTTAGTGCAGCAGTTTCCCACCATTTTGATCTCAAAATTATTTTGCACTCTTTTTTTCCCCCAAGATAGTTTTTTTTTTTTTATTATTGAGGTATAATTGACACATAACATTATATTGGTTTCAGATGCACAACGTGATGACTTGATATTTAAATATAAGAATTTAAGGACTCTAAAGAGCCCTTACTTATGTGGGTTATTTTGTCCATATTTAGTGTGTTTGAAATAAAAACTGCAAAGCCCCTCACATTAGTTAATATATTTTATGCAAAATAACTACTTTACAAAGTTGAAAATATTTAGTGAGAATCGCATAGTTTTTACTAGTGGCCCGGTGCATGGATTTGTGCCCACTGAAAGGAAATTAATTAGAAGAAATATTTTAATATTGCTGTTCGCCCTTTCCCTATAATAGAAGTGTCAACCAAATTCACAATCAATAATGACAGATCAAAACACATACTTGTGATTGGCACCAGTGAGAGCTTTATATGTATCACACATGTGCAAAGCAACTTAGCCTTTTATATATATATAGAATAAACTTGCTTAATTAGACCTGCTTTCTGATTTAGCTAAACTTTTTCCAGCCCAGTGAAGCATTCCAACTTCTCTTTCAGGTAATTGTCAGCAACACAGCAGTAAATATCAACATGAAGCAGATTATTATTGTAGATCATGCAGGAAGAACAAAGGGTAAAATATTTAATTGCAGCAGTGTTTGACTATATTCTGAGCAGTGAGAAAACCTGAAGTCATTTTCAAGGTCCACCATTTCTTACTTATTTTCAGTTGGGTCAATTTTCTAAACTTTCTAAATCTCCATTTTCCAGCCAATGAAAAGAAAATAGGTTCCATTGAGTCTCCTATCTACCTACTCCAAGACTTCTGTGAGGATCAAATAAGATGAGGCAGGGAAAAACATTTCACAGACATTTGGCTAAAGTGTGAAATGTTTCCACCTGGCTATAAAGCAAGTTGTGTTCTTGGGCTGAGAAACTGCAAGGGGGCTAGTTGTCACTAGGGAGAGGAAGCTGGATGTTGCTATGTGATGCTATTACTCAAGCGGACACTTAGCATATTAGCCCTTTATATATATACTAGAGGCCTGGTGCATGAAATTCGTGCACTTGGAGGGGTGGGGGGCATTCCCCAGCCTGGCCTGTGCCCTCTCACAGTGCAGGAGCCCCATGATCGATTTCCCCAAAGAGGTAGGCCCCGCCCACCCATCGGGGCTCCTCATGGATTGCCCCAAAGAGGTAGGCTGGAGCTGGGGGATCCCCCGGCCTCACCGTGCAGAGGCAGAGCCGCTGGGACCCGCCTCTGTGGCTCC